GACACGCGAGAGAGCAAACTTAATTTCAATGCTTTTTACGAGAACATTCATTCCTCTGCGCTAGAGTTCTTTGAAAGACTAAAAAACGAAGCGAAATTAATTTTGATTTCAGCCGAGTCCGACCCCCTAACACACACGATTCAAGAAAGTGCACACACGACAGACACAAACGGCTTACAAAATTCGTGCCCGCATTCAAAATATTAAAACTCTCTTTCGTATCCTGCCATTTGTACTTTCCTCGCTGTGATGACGACGCTGTTAATTAAACGTCAGTGCAAATAAGACAATGAATAAACGAAATACTGCCTGTAATTTAGCAGTCGCCTCTCTAATTACTATGCACAATATTATCCCCTGAGACAGGGATTGCTTGGAATCCAATTAATTTGTAGTTCAGTTCACAGAGCGCTACATTCCAAAGGAAGGCAACCACCTCATTAAATTCTCCAGTAGACTAGGCAAAGAGACGGCTCGCGTATACATTTCTCCTGGCTTAAATATTATTGTTGTTATATTATTTTTAAAACGTGCTGGAAGGCAGGAGTTCGTTTCTCTCAGGGGTCGCAGGCTCTTTGCGGAGGCAAAGTCAGTGATTAACTGGCATGCAGTTTAATTTCGTATTTTTTCACCTGCGAAACAATTATTTTTAACGAGTGAGAGGATTTGTGTGGCGTTTATAGGCTAACCGGAAAAACTGAAATCACAGAACATGATTTCGACCAGCGTGGTTCAACTGGCGGCCCGCGAATGCCGGAAATCTGATCCGGAGGTAATTTTGCATCGAATCGAAATTTGCAATGACGACATTTAAGCAAACTTGTTTAATTACAAGTAATCACAAAATAAGAGGCTCTGATGCTCCAAACCTTGAGTTCTCGGGTTAAGAAATGAGACACTTCGAGGTTAACAAGCGATTCGGAGCGATTGGTTCGCAGGAGAACAGGTTACCATATCTGCAGAATGTGTTTAAACATGAAGCAACACATTCCTAATAGAACGGAAAAATTTGGTCTACTGTTACGGACGTGATCATGCAGACTATTATGACAGTGTGTGCAGCAAAAGCTATTGATTTTGATTAAGGTTTACAGGAATGTATCAGCACGAATTTCTGAAAGTTCATTTAATTATAAACTTTAATCAAGCATCAGTTTACTGTGCCCTGACAGGAGGTTGATTTTAACATTCACAGAGAATATTTTCCAATACCTGTGACATGCAATCACGCGGTTAAAATAAAAGTTCATAACATACCACCTATCAATTCTCCAGTTAATAGTAGTGAAAATCGCTTATAAACAAACCTCTTCGCGTATTATGCACGGCATCTGATGGTCCAGTCTCTACTAGAATAAAATTTCACTCACAGGCTCATCTAAGATTCATCAATTTCAGTCCACATACGAGCTCATAGATACTGAGCTACATTCATTCTCGTATTTATGTAATCCAGCAACAAGACAACTCAGTTGAGACGGCGTCACTTTCAAGACATCGTCCCTGTGCAGGGCTGTCCAAACTAGTATAAGGGACAGTTCACTCGAAACTTATCATTTATATAAGTGAGTCGTATTTAATAAACTACCACGCGGTTAGAACGCTGGCCTTGTAATCCTGGGGTCTCGGGTTCGATTCCCGGCGGTGCCCGAATTTATAACTTGTGTTGGGCAAGGCCGTGGTCTAGGCAACACGGAGTTTTCCTCCGTGGCATCCCAACAATTACTCCATTCACACACAGAAGAAGGCAATGGCAAACCACTTCTGGATCATCTGCCAAGAACGTATATGAACAGGTCCCAGTCCGAGAAAAGGATGGAATGATCCTGTTCATATGGACCTGTCGTCAGACAGAACACTAAATAAATAAAATAAACTAAACTAAATGTTGATTCACTGGATCAGACAGGCAGAGCGTAATCAACGATACCGATGGTTAATAATTCAACCAATTAAGCGTCCGGAGAAGTGATCCTACCCGTAGTCTTACTCTACATGTAGTTTTAGACGTCAGACAAAATCGAAAAATATCGGTGGAAAAATCCACAAATCTCATTTGCAACCGTTGGCACACCTGAATTCAGGAAGCCATTACGAAATATACGAAATTATTTTTCTTACGTCCATTAGTTTATATATTTACTGGGTTGTATAAAAACTTGTGTAAATAAAATTTTTGTAGGAAGATTTCAGACAAAATGCTAGAAATAGGGGATCCCATAGCTGTATCATCGTGGTGCTACCACCAAGTGTTGTTGAATTCGAAAAAAAATCCTGGTTAACGGTTACTGCGAGAAGGTCACATATCTCTTTTTCTGTTTCTTCGTTGTCCGGTTCTAATTTTGTTTATATAATTTCTAATGTTTCTATTATTGGGATATTTGTGTGTAAATTAGAAATGTCTAGCGTTATCATTGTGTATAAGTGGTTTGGAAAATAATATTTTTGATACTTTCTCCGCATTGTACGGAATTCTTTACGTTATATTTGTACGGCAGATCTAAATATTGTTTTAACAATTCTGCAATAAATTTATAAATTTTATATGTGGGAGCATTTCTATAATTTACTACAGGTCTAATTGGGTTGTTTTCTATGCGTAATTTGATTAAGGTATTATGTTTTGGAGCTTGGGGTTTCATTTGCATATATTTCTAACGATGTTGTTTATCAATGATTCTATGTCATCTGTTGATGACTTTTGTTTGTATGCATATTTTTATATTCCAATACACTACACGGTATGCAAGGTTTTAAGATGACTTCCACCCGGACGATAAGTCTACTTGTTCACAGTAAACATTAAAAGCTCCACCGTCCTGTTACTGACTCCCCGTAACGTCCAAATATTCACAAAACACCCCGTTCTAAAGCACTCGGAAGCAATGTTCATCCCTTAATGTATTTCTCATCTTATCCTTGAGATGGTAAGAAAGGACACGGAGGTAGCCAGACATTCTTAACAACGGAGAACTTGTGTGGACGTTAAGTGACCTGGCAATGTACGTCTCCAGTAATCGCGACGTACCACATAGAAAAAAGAATAATGTTCCTGTGGTTTTACTCAGTCCATCCAGCTGAATTAACGGACAGTACTTCAAATATACCACAACCTCCTTCGCAATCCTTACCTACATGCCCCTAAAAATAATTCTTTCATCACATTCCAACTGATAACATTATAAGGTCGTTCCAAACATAAGAACAAATATACTGTGTGCTTGATTCGAAACTTAAGTACGTTTAAGGGCGGTGAAGTGTCCAAAATTACCACACCATGCAGTTGTCGTGTAACACAGCTGTACGCCCAGGCATGTCCACCCCTGAAGTAGGCCTATATCATGAGGTTCCTGAATTGTAAGTAATTTGTTCAGAACTGTACTTACTAATTAATTCCGCGGACAGCGGCACCTGGACCAGCGTCGATCCAGGCCTTCAATTACGTCAGTGCAAAATCCTTGGAGTGATTTAATGAAAACAGGCAAAACGGATGTGACGAGCCACTCTCTCCCCCCCTCTCTCTCTCGTCCTACAGTGTTGACACGTTTCGAAAGAGATGTCTCTCTCTGTCTGATGGTGATCAGGTCGATAACAGCGATCTGTTTGCGTGATGCTGTTAAAGTTTGTTTTGTCAGTCTAGTGCTACAAGTATGTAACTAACTCAGGACACAAAGTGAAGGACCGACCGAACACCAGTTAAATTGGATCTGTCGTGATGGAACGAAACGCAGTCATGGGGGATCCCTTCCAACCCAGGATCGTGGTGTTTACCCGCCAGACGTCAACTGATTTCGGTTTTGCTCGTGAACACTCAGGAGCGCCCCACGTGTCAGTAACGTGACACGTGGGACTATAGTTCAGTGGACAACCTTGAAACAACGTCCCGAGAGAGGAATAATTAAAAATCAATCACGTGTCTATTAACAGCTAGGTGTGTTAGCTGTTTTAACTCGCCGCATTTCATTACACTTAACAATCCTGATAGTCTGTCTTCAGCAAGGACTTAATTCGCAGAAATTTAATTCCTTTAAGTGGAAAGGGATCTGACATTTTAAGACAGAAACCACTGACTTTTAAAATGACGTCACTCGTACGTGATGTGTTATACGAGGTTCTCAGGGCTCTGAATATGTCCATAGTGTTTCGCTGGGTTGCGGACTTGTTTACAGACAGCAACAGTACCGCCTCCTTCCTTCTTCAGGGATAATGACGATGAAGGCAGCATGATCCAGCTACAAACTGATTACACACACGACCACCGCGGGGACTAACTGTTCGAAATTAAATGTTGAATTACTCGTTCTGCCCAAGTATGTTATTTCAAGGGGCTGAATCATTCAACAAGAAGATGGAAAACGGTAACTTGGACAAGAATTTCTCAGCCTTCTATGGAAATCGATACCCTGTTCGCAGCAACTGGTAACATGACATACCATGACCCGAACGTAACGAATTCACTCCCTGAAACTCTTACTTAACCAACATCTATTTTAATATTATCCTACATAACCTCAGGCCTCCAAAGTGCCCTATTCCTTTCAGGCTTTAGAATCAATATGCATTTCCCACAGAAATAATGCTTGATTGCGCAAAGGCCTCGCAGTGAAGAATATAATATACGTTTCCCTATTTTACTCAGACACTTCCTGATTGCTTTCCTGCCAGAATATAGCCCGGAAATGTAATACGCGTCTCATTACCACCTGAAACTACCCTATTGATGATTTCACGCCACATATTACATACAATCCCTCGTCGTTAATTACATTATAGGACTATTTCTCCTAATTGACCAAGCCACATTAATTAAATTTATGTTTGTGTATCGTAGAAGGCCTCTGGCCAGATCGGTATTACAGTACCAGCTGATAATTACAGTTTATATTAAATTAATTAGATTTCTAAAAAAAAGAGTTTATCGTTTCTGCTACGAAGGTAGAAAAATACGGTCATTTATGACGACTATCTGCTGGAATGCTGCATCGCGTAGAGGAATTGGCTTCACCTTCGTGGTCTACTCATCGCTCTGAGTATGGAGGCAGTAAGGACCTCTGAAACGTCGGTAACCTTGCGTTGCAACAACCCAGAAGACAGTCATCTTCGTATTAGTCCCCGTGAGAACCTAAAACTTCACCTAGGAAATACGAACGTCTCCGTAAACCACATCAGTCAAACTTCAACTTCACTGTCACGTGTTTAAATCACATTTAATATCTTGCATTATTCCTTCTCAGAAAGGACAAGTTGTCTGAGAGGATAATTTCTCACAAGCCCCTAATTTTAAAAGTCCAGGCCTTCTGCCAGAACGTAATAGTCACAGTCACAGGTCAGTGCTCGGCATTATACGCAATACATGCTCAGAGTTCACAAAAGGGCAATATCCTATACAAGTTTAAAACCTACTTTTAAAATCCACTTCATAACGTTTAGTATTAACAGAAATGTACTTACCGTTAAGGCGTGTCCACTTCCAGCGATGCTAAGGTAAAGTTTGAAAGAATCCAGAAAGCAGGTCGCTTCTTTTCCAAGGTTTCTGAAACAGGAGAACGCGATTCTTCTTAAATTGGTTTTAATTGCGTGTCCGAATTTTCGGGTCTACGGGTGGGTAAGCGTGGTTAGTATCAATCTGGCGTTTGCCTCGCCAAGACAGGGGTTCAGATGGGAGACACACGGCCCGATCAATTTATCTCAGCGAGTTGCAGTTCTTTACAAGAGCTTTGTTACAAGGATACGAAGGTTCAAGCTTTAAAGTAACTAACAAACGAACACTTTCCTTGGTAACGGTACCAGACGGCCCAACGCTGCTAGTAACATAGCTGGCCAAAAATATCTTTAACAAGTTTCATTCATTTAATCCTATGTACGTAACAAACGTCTTAATGGTAGTTTTTTCCGTCTCCTTCGTGGTCTGGTAAGTGGACGCTTTCACAGAGGTTTTCTGACAAAATTTTTCATGATTTCGCGGATATCTTAAGATAGCTGTCTTCTGGGTTGTTGCGCCGTGTAGTCTGGTAGAAGTTTGCCGACGTTTCAGAGGTCCTTGCTGCTTGAGTCATCGCCCTTATAATGGAGGCAGCATGGACCACTGAAACGTCGGTGAGCGTCTACAAGACTACACGGCGCTACAGTCCAGAAGACAGCCATACTCAGACTCGCCACCGTGAAAACCTCAAATCCTACAAGATTATATGATTCAGAAACAAGGTTCATATGAAAAAGTAGTTCGAGTCTTTTGAACCCAGTACTCATCTGCTTAGAATTCTTCTCAGGGTACCGCCATGTTTCTAGTTAGGACTGTTTAATAATAGAACCAGTTAATATGGTTGCAGAAACAACTGTGGGTCATTCATGTCCGGGAAATGGAGTCTGCAAACCTGGGAGTAAGACCTTCAGCGTTTATCTTCTACCACGCAAAGAAGTTATAAAGTACCGAGCGAGATTCCGGGCAGAAGGATTTGTGGGGGGCAGTGAAACACCCCATAAGTGCCACTCTTTATGAAAGTGAACTTGTTTAAACTCTGTAAAAAGTTTATTAGAGTAGCGTGCGCATCAGACCGATATTTGAACCAGCACTAAACTGCAGACACGTAGCAACTTTATGGAAGTCTCCAAAGTTAATCTTCAGATTATAAATATAATAACATTTTTACAGAATTCCATAATTCCTGTAAAAGCCGTCCCAACTTGGAAATATCTGTTAATACAAGATTAAGAAAGCGTAAAAAAGATGCAGTGTTGCAAGATTAAGAAAGCATCTCTGAGATGGCAGTCTTCCGGGTTGTAGCGATCTCTTCGCTCAAATAAAATTTGTCAAACTCCTCACACCTCAGGGTTCGAAAGTTACAGAATAATTAACTCATTAAGAACTTCGCGGCTTAAGTATGTTTTGTAACACGCGATTAGACACGCCCCAGCGACTTCGCCATATTTAATCGGGATATTTTTAATCTAAAGAGTTGAGTCTCAATTCTGCAGCAGGTCTCCACGACCATTCCCCACAACGTCACTCAGCAGCCTGTGAGAATTCACACCCCACGAGGTTCGTGCAGCAATTGGGACACGTGGGTAAACAGCCCTCATAATTCACCCTTTCATTTAAAGTTGCCTTAGAACTTACGTTAAATCATATAATACATATATATGCATATAAAATAAAGCTGTCCCACTATACGCCATGTATGCGCTTGGGGGGAGAGAGGGGTATAGCTCCTACTCAATTCTTGACCTCGGCACTAGATGGGGGTGAGTGGTCAGCATCACGCCCCGGCCGAGTGTATATATATCACACTCACGTCTTGATCGGTTTTACGCCTAAACACGCGTGTGTAAGAGTTTTCAAGGCTATATGGACTTCGCCAGTTGAAACGACGTTACAAAATAAACTTGCGAACAAATTTTGAAGCGATTTATTCACCTGATATGTTGAAGGGAGGAGTTTCTCTCTGAAAGCCCTCGTGGACAATTCCCAGTTCTAAACGATTTAATTGGAAAAAAATACGTCACTTATTCAAAAGCCTCTCCTTCGAGTTCAGTTGTCTTAAGTTTCATCCGAATGGCCGCCATGAAACATTAAAATAATGAAAAGGGCTGGACACGCTTTCAATCGGTAAACTAACAGCGCAGACCATTTTACACGCAAACAAAAGACTGTCGATGGATTCTCCTCGTGCTTTAGACACGTAAAGTGTCGTACAAATCTTTCCCGCATTCAATTAAGGCCACTCAAATTAATTAAAGTGTTATTAAAGGGAGCACGTCATTTACATAGTACACTGTCATTGTGAGGGGACCAACGAAGGACAATGCAAACATTTTGACGAAATTTAACAAAAGTTCCGGAGCGCTCAAACAAATTCTGTACAGAACACAAAGTGACGAAGAGGCAAACATGACCGGTA